GTGGGAGTGCAACACGCGCACTGAAGTTCAATCCTTTTGAGGGACCATGAGGGCTGTGAACGGGGCGTCTGGGAAGGCTTCCAGACCCGCACTCAGACCGGTCACCAGCAGATTTAAGTCTCCATTTCAGCCACCATGTCGGAGACCTGTTGGAGCTGCTAGATGACCATAGATGACATCCCAACAAAAGTGGAAGGAGAACGTTCGACTATATATCAGTTCGGTGCCCCAGGTCACGGGTCACTTAGCCTATCTTGGTTTGATGAAAGTGGATGAACACTTTTAAGCATTAGGAGCAAGAGCATCGCTACTAGGAGCAAAGGGCATCGCTACTAGGAGCCAGGATGCTACTAGTAGCTCCCGGCCTCACTACTAGGAACAAGAAGATACTAGTAGCAGGTAGGTACTACTACCGTATAAGGCTTCGTACAGATTTGCGATTTGCGAAAGAAATCCGGTTTGCCCGGTCTGGGTGGATTCTTGCCAGACTGGCCAACACTCTGAGTCATTTCCTGGGAAAAGAATGGAAACGAGTATAACATAGTATAACATTATAACCATGATGGTTGACCGAACTTTTTACCTGTTCTTGATTGTTCTTGCCCTGGGGGATCCAATCCCTAGAAATCATGGTTTATATATTGCAAAATGATCAGTAAAACAATGGTTCTTCGGGATTCAGGCTCTAAAAAACGGTCAGCAGTTCAAATCCTACGGGTAGGGCGGGGTCGACTGAGTCTGAGGTCTGCCAGGTTCGCTCCGATCTCCGCTTCACATGTACTGCCAGCACCCACAGGCAATGGCTTGTTTTTTGGATGGGCAATACCTGGTCAGGGGAGATCTAAAAACCCACCCCAAGTGGGTGGTGCTGGTGGGGAGTAACTTAAAACTAGTAGATTCTTGAGGAAGTCTCCTCCAAAAACCGGGGGTAGGGCTAAATAAGCCTCTGGATTGAATTGCATCAAAGCGCTGGAAACACCAGGAACCAGGTCATCTCATCACAACTCGCCTAATCAACCACACGCCCGGTTGGAGTCGTTCCGTTCGTCGCCTTTCAATCGGTTGAAGTGAAGACTGACACAACACATGGGCCGCACCGGAGGACGGGGAGTCGACTCGGCATGCTGGGCCAAGTATTTGGTCGACATCCACACCGCAGAGTCGACATCCACGGCATCCCCGAGAAAAGAGGAGGAACTGGAATCGTCGTGCTGTCACTCTGAGTGTCCTCCCCTCCCCTTCGACCCACGCGACCCACGTGCGTTTCCGCGCCGCGCCGCGCGTCCGTCGCCGTGTTCCGGGCGTCCCCGGCGATCGCCCGGCGCGCTCTTGGTGAGCTGCACCTCGGTGAATTTGGGGTGGTGCCAGGGGGGTGAATGTGGGCATTACATGGATGGTCGGGGGAATGTACAGAAAAAGGAGGCTTGATGTCAGGTCTAGGATCAGTTACAAGTTTCGACGGATGCTCCTGGGCAAGCAAAGGGGACCACAAAAACACGGTAAAACAAACACTCAACACTCCGACCATTGCTTCTATAGATGATGTCATCGAGCTCTACGCGTGCACGGTCCGGGAGTTTTGGTCTGGACACTGGACACGCAAAGCGAATCATCTGACCGTTTTTGGTTCATTGCGATGCAAAGAGTAATTTCGTCAGACTCCAACAACGTAGACTCCAACAACGTGGACCGAAACCAAGTTCGGCAGCTTTGGGACACCTCAAACAAAAGGCAATGTATAGACACCTCAGGAAGGTGTCCTGGCACCCGGGAGGTCTATCCGAGGGCCTCCCCCCCCTTCCGGCGGAAGTCCGTCCGTCCGCAGGGTCGGCGGTTTCTGCTCTTGAAAGTATAAAGTGAGGCGCCACATCGGCCACCACTAGGCCACCTAAACCTGGAAAACTTCCACTCAATCAGTTTGTGATGGCAACATCGGACCATTCTGCAGTAGAATTGGATCGACGCACTGATCAGCTCTCTTTTGGGGCCCAGCAGGGACCAAACCCCACCCAATTTCTGCGGCGCCGCGGCCTCTCTCAACCGCTCCCCACTGGTGCGCCTTGCCTCCCATAGGACACAGCCATCGGGCGTCATGGTGCTCAGGCGTTGGCTCGCCTGACTCGCCTCCCAGAGAATCACCGAACGACTACAACGCTCGTGAGCCCGGCGCCAGGAACGAAGAGGTGGGTTTTTAGGGGGATGTTCAGAAACCTTGAAAGCTGGATGTTTCTTTGTTTTTTGAGAGGAAGCCATTTTTCGGATGTTGTTTGATTCTGTTTGTTTACAGTACATGTGCTTGGAAGTGCTTGATGCACACCTTTCTGCGTTGATGCTGGCCTTCCTAAAGGATGCCCCTTCAGGGACCTCTGTGCAGTGAGTGGTGTGAAGGAAACGTTTCGAAAAAGGTGATGAAACGTTGACCGTTTCCCACCTATTCATGTTTTGGTGGCACAACCAAGTTCCCCCCCCAAAAAAAAAGAATTATCCATTGCGTAGGCTGAATACACTCAAGTTAGGGGACGAGGTCTATCCTCGTGGCCCACCCAACCGTGTCACATGGACCAAGCGGTCGGGGTCTATCCATGTCATCCAGGGCCTCAGTGGATGATCCTTAGGTGGCAAGCCTTCTAAGAGAGGTTTTTTGAGACCAGAACGTGAGAAGACCCTGGTCTGTGGTACATATGGGATGGGCGACAAGAGGGGCTGTGAGTTCAACCTCTCTTGGTTTCTAAACTAGTGATTTGCTGGTTTACTTACAGGTCCTATAGGTCCTAGGACAAACCCAATGTTGTTTGACCCTTTTTCCACCACCCCTGGCTGGATCGGTACACATCTACATGGAGTGTGTTTGGGCTGTCTGAGGGCACCATGGACGAATTGGACGAACGCCAGCGACTCCCAAAGCCTGAAACAGCACGTGATGATCCCAAAGGAATCACAAGTTGGTCTTAAATATGTGGCTCTCACTGTGGCTCTCTTTTTCAGGAGCTATGTTTCTGAAAGTCCAGGGATTCACCGTAAATGATGCTATACCCTGAAGCTTCAAGAGTGCGACATTGGAATGACCTTCATCATCTCCCGGAAGTGGGAGAAACCCACTTTTGGATCGATCTATTTGTTAGGCGCCTCGTGTGACAGAAAAACCCATGCCAAAAGCCACTGGCTCCTTTCGACTTCTTCAGGGGCATTTTGCACCTTTCTTACTCCAGTTGATCACCTTTGTCCTGGTCATTCAAATATCATTAGACCGCTTTATCAGTGACTATAAGGATAATAACCTTTAAAGGATCTTACTCCTGTTCTGCAAGTTCATGATCATTCATGTTCCCGCTGACCCTGAGATTGAAACGAGGCTGTTGGCCCTAGAGGTTTCGTGGCCATAACGGGGGTGAGCCACCATGTGCTCAAACCCCATCGGCATTGGGCCGTGTGATTCTTGGATCAAACCTGTTCAACCAGGAGTTTCAAAGGTGTGCTATCCATGGAGGTTCGGGGTGCCCATATTATCCACTCACTTAGGCACTAAACATCACCCCGTCTTTGTATGTGACCCCTGGACTGTCATTCAGACAATGATATTTGTTGAATCAACCAAGGCACAACAAATCTCATGAGAACTGAATGACAGTCTGGGCGCTCGACTTCTACGAAAAATCTATGGCCATGACTTGGTTGAATCTCTTGGCATCAAAAAGCTTCTTCTAAGATCCACTTCTCTCCACCGCACCGCCGCGCGAAGCGCGACTCTTTCGCCACCTCACCGCGGGTCCCGCCTGGGGCAGCCCTCGGCCTCTCAAAGAGCCCAACTGCTGGGCCAGGGCCTTGGCACGGAGATAGGTCACCAAGCCCCAAAGAGACATACAAACACCCCATGGGACTGCCATAGATATGCCAATCAGTTGGGATGGTTTTTGTTAGGGTGGATGTAGGCATATATTCCAGTCCCATGGAGTGTATGGGATATACATGGGACTGGCATGCCGCCCCAGACAGACCCCCCTGGCACCAGCTGATCGGAAGTCGGCATATCCCAGATGGCGGTCGCGTCTTGACCAACATCCAAACACATCCCGGCCCAACACGTCCAGTCTGACCCAATACTTGTCCAAACCACGTACTTGGTTTTTCACAGAGTTTCTGTCATTGTCTGTCTGACCATGACTGAAATGAGATCCTTGACCTGTGGGTCATTTGATTTCATGTGTCTGCATGGTTCTTTCGTCGTGAAAACGAAGGTGGCGTCCAGAACACAAGGACGCCACAGGAACGGCGGCGCCAGTCGAAGAACACGTCGAAGAGATCGGTTTTTCCTGTAAAAAGAAGTGGCATGGAATGACCTATCCAGGCTAGCTGCGGCTAGATAGAGTGGATCTATTTTGGAAGTGCATTTGAGGCTGAATTTGGGAAGCTCAAAAATGCATGTACTTCTTTTCTCACAACTGAGTTTGGGCCCTCCGTCTCGAATCTCCTTTTTCCACGTCCATCACTCCTTTGCCTCTTCCCAAGTCTAGGCATCCCGGACCGGTGGCAAAGAAGAACTCATGCTGGGATAGCCAGGGTATCCAAGCTGACCTGGGAAACCGAACAAAGCCATCGGACCAAACCAAACAACCTCTTCCTCGGTTGGCACCAGGGGGGCACCAATCGATACACGGTTATCATCTGTCATCGATACAAATTTAGACTAACTTTGTGTGATAGATGTGCTGAAGAAGACCCCTATTGAAGCAGACCTCAAGGTTAAGCAAAGACATTAGTCACATCAAGCGACAAGCGACATATGTGGTTTCCGCCTGTCCGAGGTGCTCGGATCACTGATAGGTGTCCGGTTTACAAGGCATGTACTGATTGAAACCGATTGCAAACCATCATAAGAATGGGGTTGTATCAAATCATTCCGGTTCCTATGCAGCAGCAGCAGCAGCAGGAGGATCCCTCTCCAGTTCTTTGTTGACTAGTTCCCTGCGTGTTGCAAGTAGTACCCTCGCCATTCTTCCAGAGATCATCAAAGCGTACCTCTGAACCTCCGCGACCTCCACGCCGCCTGTGAACGCGTGCTCCTTGGGCCTATCGGATCTATAGGGTTCGATCCAACGCCTCCGCATAGAAGGTGGGAAGAACTGACCATCCACTCAACAAAACACCTTCCAAACCCAGCTACCAGTAGTGGTTGTATGAATAATCCGAGCGTCACAACCACCAGCGGAACGCCTCACAGCACTTGGAACGCAGGGATCTCGGCGACGTTGAGAAGCATAAAGGGATCTGACTGCACAAAGCGCACTGTGCATCAGTTCGCTGCAGTGTATGCGAGCATACGAACATCCCAGTTCCTGAAACAGCTGACACAATACGGGTCACGGTTTTGCACCAACTTCAACGAAAGTCACGCCACTTCCTGCAGTTCATCGCGCGAGTCGCGCCCATTCGTGCGGCGCTCGGCGCGAGAGTGCCACAGCAGAGTTCATGCGAGGACTTCGCCGCAGGACACGCCGACACACACACCAAGACGCTTGACACCAAGACGAAAATACCGAAGGCTCTTGCAAGCGGTTGGGACTTGTTAATTAGTAGAGAAAGTTGGGATACCTATTATACCCTTGAGATAGCTCCTTGTAGCCTCCCTCCTGAACACCGGCGAAGCACGACTGGGCCATCAGGACCGCCTGTCAGTCAGAGAGTTTCCAACAATGTAGACTCTTGATCTCTGAATAAATAACAACAAGATAGCTAGGGTTATTGTAAAACATTTTCAGGCCTGGGAGACACTGGGAGAGGTTGATTTATATATATATATATATACTGTATATATTCAGAACTATTTACAGTGAGGGGCCATTATCATGAAACCAAGGTGGGACCTCATTGCAGTTCGTAAACGGGACCCTCTTTTTAACTTTGCGGTGTTGCGTCAGCACACCAGCGGCGGCCGCAGCAGCAGGCCCAAGCAATCCTCGAACAGAGCATGGTATGAAACTCAAAAAATCCAGTCGATGGCTGGAACTGCCTCCACACTGGATCAAGTATTGGTAGCGCCCTGCAGTCAAGCCTGCTAAGTTCAACGTGGATCAGCACTCGTCGAGCTGGCTTTGGACCTCTACACTGGCCCTAGGTTGATCCAAGCAGAAGGCATTGCTGGCGATCCTCGGTACTATGAGAAAGGAATCCTCCAAGGCTGCCCTCAAGCTCCTGCGATAGCCAAATTGGTGCTCTTCCGACCGCTTCGGGCCTTGGTTCAAGAGCATCCGGCAGTCCTACTACAGACATGGGTGGATGATGTTTCCTTCGACATCAAAGGGACTGACCCGGACTATGCAGCAAGAGAGGCAGTTTTGGCTTTCCGAACCCTGCAAGACAAGCTGGCTGCGGAGGGTCTCAAACTCAACACAGAGAAGACCGGTTTCATCAATAGCAGCAAGGAATCCGCCAAGGCTCTGGATGCCCTGCTCCGAGAAGATGATCCCAAGCATCACAACATCCTCCGTGACCTCGGCATAGACGCCACCAACTCCAGGCGCCGACGCTCAGATCAAGAAGCGCTTCCTCAAGGGAAGAGGCCGAGTTGGGATCATGCTCCGTCTGAAGCTGGGCATGACAACCAAGTACAGGCTGCACAGAGGAGCGATCCACCCCGTGATGTCTTGGGGAGCTCAGGCAAATGGGCTGGCTCCACAACGTCGACAACAACTACGGGTCTTGGCTGCCAGAGGTCTCGGTCTCCAGAGATCCGGCTCCGTTGATGTTGTCTTCGACATCCACTCTGAGAAGAGCGACCCTGGCGATTCAATCATCTTGCAACACATCCACACAGTCTGGAAGGTTTTGCATTCTTTCGACGAAAGCGCCCAGAACCTCTTCTGGATCAGCTGGAACTCAGCGCTTGATCTACTCCTCAAGGCCAAGCATCGTTGGCAGGTTGTTACTGGGCCCCTCCAAGCCCTTCAAGCCTACCTGTTGGACTATGACTTTGACATCTCCAACGGCAAGCTCTGGAAGAGAACTGGCTATGGGGGCATCCCCGACTGTACCATCAGCCTGGAAGCCTTATGGCCTGAGATCCTTCACAAGCTGACTGAGGAATTCCACTGGCAACGATTGCTGCGACTGACCAGGTATGAGGGCTGCCACGACCTGGAAAGGAAATTAGATTGGTCAGTCAGCAAAACGCTCCAGAAGATGACGAGTGAGAAGATTG